CTGACCTAGAGGACCCAGCTCAGACTCCTGAAAAGGGCACCTGGGACACACATGGGCTGTCTCTACCTTCCTGAGTCTTGCGCAGGTTTAAACACACAAGCGTCACAGCAAAGGGTCACATGGGGACTGGGAGAGACACATGCATGCTGCACTCTGCTGTCACGGCAACAACTACCTTCGATTCCTGGCAACAGATTCCTTCTGGACTTGCTGTCAGAGAAACCAAGGCATTAGCCAGACTTCTCCCACTGGGGAGGTCACTACCCCTTCCAGCAGGCTGATCAATATATTAATCCCTCAGAGGGGGCTCTTGCTGGCAGCATATAATGTATGCAAAAGAACTGCTCATCAGCCTTTCTAGGTTGTGGGGGACAGAGCCCCATAGTCCTCACACTTCATGCCTCCTTACTGATTAAAATGAAGACTTTTCCCACAGGGGAGTCTGTCTCCAGATAGTAACATAAGATGACTTGTTGGCAGCCTTGTCCTGTGGAAAATGATCCACAAGTAAATCATTGTATTTCCTGTTGGTGAAATTCAAATCTCATCATCAAAGGATTGAGGGTTGGATGATGCTTAGAGATCATTCTGACTACAGAATGTTTAATGAGGTAGCATACCTGAAATTCAAAGCCCAAAAGCACATGTCCCTTCTGTAGCCACAGGTACCCTTACACATTGCAAATGTGTTCCATGCTTCCTCAACCAAATAAGAGGCTTGCAATAGGAATGCCTCACAATTGTAAGACCCCAAACATCTCCTCCCTCCCTAGAAGGTATCTCACAAGCAGTGATTACATTTCTCCCAGCTACCAAATAATAAACACCATTTTCCTGCTTTCCTGGCTCCCTAAGGTGACTGCCAAGTCCTCTGAGACTCCTTGGCTATAGAAGCATCCTGAAGCTGTCAAAGAACAAACAGTATGGCATCATTCCACCAAAGTAGGAAATAACTTTTAATGCCTTCAGTCTTAATTCTTAAGAGCGGAATGAAGAATGCCTTGACCCAACCTCAGGCTGCCTCTAGTCCTTTAGTGCAGCGGTTCTCAACCTGTGGGTCGTGACCCCTTTGGCAGTCGAACGACCCTTTCACAGGGGTCGCCTAAGACCATCCTGCATATCAGATATTTACATTACAATTCGTAACAGTAGCAACATTACAGTTATGAAGTAGCAACGAAAATAATTTTATGGTTGGGTCACAATATGAGGAGCTGTATTTAAAGGGCCAGAAGATTGAGAACCACTGCTTTAGTGGGTTGCTCAGGCTGCTATTGTAGATAGATTCCTGGAGGACTTGCAAATTTAGGGAAGCCTGAGACCTAAATCTCCCAGAATGGCTAAATGTGGGATAAACACATGTAAGGTGCAAGTTGAGATCCTCCTACTTTATTTACAACCATGGACATCATTCTCTCAAGGAAAATGACTTCCCCACAATGGAAGACAAAACTATCATTAAATGAGGGAGAAGACCTTCAAGTGGGGAAGAGCAAAGATTCTGCCCATGTCCATATTTCTATACCCTAGAGTGTGCTGAGGACAACCAGAGTCAGAAAACTCTTAGCTTAGAAAATTCTTCCCTTAGATGACCTCTATACTAGGAACCAAGGCTTTTGTATTGTCAGGCACATAGAATCAAGGAGGTGTCTGACCTTGTCTCTATTAATCACAATGTCCTCAACTGTGAATATCAGGGATGTTAACTTTTGAGAATCTGATGAGCTATAGATCTTCTTCCCAGGAAAATAGACACAAGACTTCCATACAAACTTTTGAGTATAATTTGGGGAAAAGACCTCCTAAAATCCAGGCTAAGGATTTAGCCTGAACTGGATGATTTCTTCCAACTCTAAACATAGTTTATGGAAGCGCTGGTTAAATTTGATAGATTTTTCTTTGCTTGCTCCTAAAAACTCACAAGAAAAATGACAAAAATAATAGGGGCATATAACTTGAGTCACGGACCTGGCACTCATTACTGCTCAAACCTGAGTCTTGGCCTCTCGCCTTCCTCCCTGCTTCAGCACCTGCTCCAGCTTCTCCACAAACTACCAGAACCTGGGCTCCATGCCTGGCGACCAGGCCCAGCCAGCCAGCAGCACAGACAGTGTCTATGCAGGGGATTGGGCTCCCAGATTTCCATGTCTCAGTCCACCAGAGTGCAGGGCAGCTGGAGGTCCTGGGCCTGGCTGTGGGAATGACAGGGGGGGTCTGGCGGGGATAGGGGGCATCCAGAGTGAAAAGGAGATTATGCAATGCCTGAATGATGGCCTGGCCTCCTATCTGGAGAGGGTGAGAAGCCTGGAGGCTGATAATCAGAAGCTGAAGAGCAAATTCCGGGAACACGTGGAAAAAGGGGGACCCCGGTCAGAGACTGGGGCATTATTTCAAGACCATTGAGGAACTAAGGGCTAAGGTCTTTGCAAGTTCTGGGGACAGTGCTTGCATCATTCTGCAGTTTGACAATGCCCAAATTGCTGCTGATGATTTCAGAGTCAAGTATGAGACATAGCTGGCTATGTGCCAGTCTGTGGAGAGTGACATCAATGAGCTCTGAAAGGTCACTGACGACACCAATGTCACTCAGCTGCCGCTGGAGACAGAGATCGAGGCTATCGTGGAGGAGCTACTCCTCATGTAGAAGAACCATGAGGAAGAAGTAAATGGTCTACAAAACCAGACTGCCAACTCTAGGTGACCATGGAGTTGAATGCCCCAAATCTCAGGACCTGACCAAGATCATGGTGCACATCCAGGTCCAATATGACAAGCTGGCTTGGAAGAACTGAGAAAAGCTAGACAAGCATTGGTCCCAACAGACTGGGGAGAGCACCACAGTGGTCACCTCACAGACCGCTAACATGATACAGAGTTGAGATATCTGATCCAGTCCTTGGAGATTGACCTAGACTCTGAAAAATCTGAGGCAAGTTTGGAGAACAGCCTGAGGGAAGTGGAGACATGCTATGCCATGCAGATGGAACAATTCAATGGGATCCTGTTGCACCCGGAGTTACCTGGCCCAGACCCAGGCGAAGGGTATGCTGAACATCTAGGTCCAGCTGGAGGCAGAGATTGCCGCCTACCTCTGCCTGCTGGGAAAAGGGAGGACTTTTCTCTTAATGATGCCCTGGACAACAGCAACTCCATGCAACCTACGCAAAAGACCACCCTCGCAGGACTGTGGGTGGTAAACTGAGGTCAGCAACACCAAAGTTCTGAGGCATTGAGGCAGCAGAAGTGGGACACCCCTTGTTAGGCAAGAGGCCAATAAAAAGTTCAGAGATCATTGAAAAAAATAATAATAGGCGATCAAAAAATCTTAACAAAATAACTAAAGGCAGAAAGTGGATGGACAAGTGCAACTGATTTAGCTGAGCAGACATTAAAGCAGCTGCACAGAAAGCATTCCATTCTCCACCCAGAGCACTGCAAAACTGAAGGCACTAGTACATAGGAAAGTAAAAGGGAAAAGTGACATCAATAAAATTTAATCACTTACACAGGCTCTGCCAAAGTCCAATAATTAATTTTGTATTATTTTTCTTTAAGGGGAAGCCCTAAATTATAAGCTTTATGCCCCACTAATCTTGTATTTGTCTCTCAGTGTGGCTGAAACAGAAACATTGGTTGAAAGTCTTTATTAGAAAGTTAGATCTCAAGATACCCTTCCTCAACCTATATAAGCAGGAACTCCTTGGCTGAAGAAAGCTTTACTCAGCTGACATTAAAACAGCTGTGCCTCATCTATAGGCAGGGATGAGGGTCCATACTGAAAGCAAGAGGATTAGATGAAAATATGCACACTGAATTATGAAACTCAGAACCCCTCCCTCCATTCAGCTCCCAGAAGACTGACAGTTAGTTGTCTCTGCAAGAGGTTGGAGAATTCTTCTCTGGGCAAACTATCAGAGGTAATCATCTCAGTCCCTGTCCAATCACTGCACAGTAAAACAACCAAAATACAAGCCTGCAGAGCTTCCAATCATCTTCTTTGTAACTCACTTTTAATTATGAGTGGACAGTCAAGAATCACCACATTTAAGGACCAGCTCCAACATGAAAGTCAGAGGCTAAAACATAAACAGGAGAAAGAAAAAAAAACAAATTCTGAGAAAATAGTCAATGCAGGGTACAGAATTTTAAAAATGTAGCTACAAGTTAAACTCAGAGAGATGAGAGGTTATTACATACAAGCTATCTTAGATAATAAAAATTTTTAAACATTCATAAAAGATGAAAGTACTCATGGAAGTTAAATATGATTGCCAAAATTTTTAAAACACTTAACCCATGATTTGGAATTATAAAGTTGATGAAACCTCCCAGGAAGTAGAACAAATGGATAAAAAGAAAATTGAGCAGAGTAAAACTGTGTGTGGTAGGCAAAGTCCAAGATGGTTCTCAAGATTCCCGCCCCAGTATACAGGCCCTGTACAGCAGGTCCAGAAATCACCATTTTGTTACAACCTTGGAGAGATGCTGCAGAAACATAGTGTGAATAGAACTTGTGAAATGCCAATATTCCCGCTTTAGTTTGAGTAGAACTTGTGACTATGATGCCAATTTATCCACTCCTTACCAGCACTTATTATTCTCTGCCTTTCTGATTGTAGGCATTTTAGTAGGTATAAAGTATTATCTCAGTGTGGTTTTGTTTTTTATTTTCCTCATTCTAAATGATATGCATTATTTAGCTTATAAGCCATTTATATATTTTCTTTGAAGAAATGTCTACTCAGATGTTTTGCGCATTTCCTAAGTTGGGTTATTTTCTATGATTATTGAGTTGTAGGAGTTTTTTGTATTCTAGATACAGGTCCCTTATCATATATATGATTTGCCAAAAATTTTCTCCCATTCTGTGGGTTGTATTTTTACTTTCTTGACAGAGTCCTTGGAAGTACACGTTTTCAATTTTGATGATGTCAATGTAGCTAATTTTATTTTTA